ATCGCAGTGCTGAAAAGCTTATTGGAATTTGAATTTCAGTGATGTGCTAGCGTTTACCGTAAAATCAAAAAACTTTTTTTGCAAACGAAGCGGGCCGAGAAAGCCTGTTGCTGACCTGTTGCCTACTGCTCCAAAAGTGTGATATGCAGACCGTAGTTGAGTGAGAGGGTAAACGTTTTTCATCACGCTAGTTGCAGGTGTCTCGTTTTTCATTACAATCTCTCATAACCTCATTACAACCACATTGTAACCTCTGTATCATAGCAACACGTGCGTCCCATAAAATCGTTTATTTTCCACTTGCTTTTATAACATTTTACAACACTTTCGAGTTCCTCGAAATCAAGGGAAGCTGTTTTAGAGGAGCTGAAAGGACGGCTGCTATGTGGGTTTGTATGAGCAATTCATAAACCATTGGATATGCATTCATTTGGTGCTTTTCCATGAGTGTAGGGGCGTTGCTGGGTCTTCAGAGTGATGTTTTTGAGGCACCACATCGAAATCCGTGAATGCAAAGATTGAATGCAAAGCTTAACAGTGATTGAGTTTTGTGACAGAGTTTTAAATACTGTTCACATCTCAAACAAGAGCTTGAAACCCGTAAAGGCGAGCAGGTTGTGTGCGCACCGAGTCTCCTAATGATGAAGATCGTGTGAGCGTGAAACAATGAGGCAGGTGCAGTAGTGGGAGCAGAAGCGACGAGAGATACCACTACGCATTTTGAAGTGGACGAAGCGGCGCCTACCATCTCTTGTGAACCGTCTCCTGACAAGTGCTGATGCTGTACGACAACAGTAACGGAACTGTGCAGAAAAACTGAGCCTCTTCGAAAAGGAATGCTTGGACTTTAAGAATGGGAGCATATACAGCATCTTCCTAAAATTTAGCTTTTCGAGTTATTAATTTATGCGCCAAAACTTCCATATGGCTGTACGTGAAGCTTAGACGTGCGCGAACGTTGTGTTTAAATGTTCCAGTGTTAAATCACTGTCGCGAACTCTGTAAGTGTTAAATCACCCTTAATGTGTTGGCTTCCTAGTTCCTCTGGTTCCAGAGTTGAAACTGCTGGATTACATGCACTGTGAATACACATAAACAGACATGCACAGACACTCGCGCACACACACAGGCACACATAGGCGCATGCACACACACACACACACACACACACACACATACATATGCAGGGCCTCGATAGTATGCTTTTTCTGTTGCAGAACAAAAGATATAATTAAACTGCTAAACAGGAATGTTCCGGTCCTTGAAGTTGTAAATATTTTTGTTGTGCGCCGCAACTGGGCCAGTACGAGATGGTTGCAGTCTCGGATTATTTTCAGTAAGGTATTTGTCAAATCTGAAGCAGCACATATTTGGGGTCGTTCTTGGCTGCACATTCGCACACCGTGCTAAACAATGCATTGGAACTGCCAGCAGCTGCTCGTCTCGAATAGCTACAAGTTAGGATCGTCGTACTGAGGCACGCCATCAACAATGAAGGTTGTCTCAGCGTGTTATACGGCGTACTCCACAACAATCCGTTGATTGAAGTACATTCTGCGAGCGGGTGACGTTACCGGGTGCTGCCGCGGAAACACTATTACTTTTCAAATTTCTCGTTTTTCTACTGCTGCACCTTAGGATGCGGCTCCGCTGATTTAGCAACTGCTGGGCTTCAGAAGATGCCTGCTTATTTTAACATCTTCACACGTGTGCATATAAGGGGGCAAACAGGGCAACTGTTAGAACTCGGCTTGGCTCGGCTGCGCAATATGCATTCCTTTTTGTACAGAACGCACAAATTTGTTGGCTCGATGGGATCGATTGTAAGAAAATTCATGAGTGTGTGCAGTTTTCGATTTTTT